TCCCTCTATTTAAGAGCATCCTCATGCAATGGTGCTTTTCAAAGAAGAGACATCAAATGGGCTTAAAGTAGAGTAGAATCTTGATTTACAAACGTCCAAGTTTCAAGCTTTTTGAGTTACGAGCCATTGCTTGCCCTATTTTTGGATTCAACATGAGAGTGAGATGTAAATTATGAGCCCCTTCCAAGATGGTGGCCATTCCAGGAGACTGAGGAGGAGAGAGAAGTGTCAACAGCTCCATCCTCCCACCAAGGAGCTCTCCCATCACTTGTGTCAGGAGCAGGTAATGCAAGGCGAGCGAGAGAGCTTGAGGGGAGCCTCCATAGTGGCAAGAAGAGTATGAGACAGCCTCAAAGACAGGTCAAGCTCACAGGGAGAGAGGGAAGAGGCTGCAAGGGAGGGAGAAAGGAAAGGAGAGAGAGAGGGAGGGGCCTTACAATCCTCTTCCAAGATGGTGGCCATGCCAGGAGACTGAGGCAGAGAGAGAACAGCCAGAGTGTCAACAGCTTCATCCTCCCACCAAGGGACTCCACCATTGCTTGTGCCAGGAGCAGGTGATGCAAGGCCAACGAATGAGCTTTAGGTGAGAAGAGAAAGCCTCAAAGGCAGACTAAGCCCACAGGTAGAGAAGGAACAGGGAGGGATGGAGAGAGAAAGGAAGGGAGGGAGGAAGGGAGGGAGGAAGGGGCCTTGGCACAGGTGACTGGAGGCCTTTCTCTCCGTCTCTGCCTCTGAAGGGTGGACGGTGGCAGGGAAGCCAAAAGGTAGCCAAGGGAGCCACTCAGGGAGGGAGGGAGGGAGGGAGGGAGGGAGGGAGGGAGGGAGGAAGGAAGGAAGGAAGGAAGGAAGGAAGGAAGGAAGGAAGGAAGGAAGGAAGGAAGGAAGGAAGGAAGGAAGGAAGGACTGGCTGAAGCCCCTGAACCACGCAGGGCCTTGGAAAATGCATTTAATTGTTCTGTGACCAAGCTCTGGAATGGATTAATAGCATTTCAATTCATGAAGAAATTTGTCTTGACGTACGAGCAAATTGAGTTATGAGTTTGGTCATAGAAGAAATTAAACGCGTATGTCAAGGTATAACTATACAGTATTTGTTTCTAAATGTTTATCTATACATACAGCATTATGGAAATAGAAGGGAGAACTGAAACAAATTCTGGAACAGCTTTTTGATACTAGCCTATAATCAAAATGCTGCTTCTATACAAATTGCCAAGTACAATACATTGAGCACACCCTCCAGCTCCTCTCCTGCCCCAACAAATCATCCAATCAGAAAGACCTAGGGATTAAAGGGAATGTTTTGGCCCTCTAAGGTCTTGCTGCTTCCTAATGGGCACAAGCAAGCCTTCCCCCTCTGCAGCACATTTTGTGTTTGGGGAGGTTAATTTGCTTAATGTAGCCATTCTGCCAAAAGGAATCACTTAGTTTTATGGGATTCTGAATAGCAGTGTCAAAATCAATGGCCCATTCTCTTCCAAGAGACTTGCATTTGCTCTAAAAGCTTTCCTAAAACTGGAAATAAGGCTTGTGCATTAGACCAATGGCTTCCCCAAGCAGAAACATGCTGCAACTAATGTGGTGGGTAATATGCATGCAAGAAAGAGTGATCCCCCCCCCCCACATCTGTTTTCCTATCTTGTTGTCTGGGGTTGAATGCACTTTAAAAGGTGGCAGCTGTATTGATTATTTAACAGGGGGAGGGGAACGTTAGGATGGAGAATTGCTGAAGTAGCCCTGCTTAATGCTTTCCTCTGAAACAAAACCCATTATCTGGAATAGTGGAAACTATCCTGAAATCCTTATTAATGTTTAATAAGGATGGAGGTACATGAGGGTACATGACAAAATAGCCAAGGTCTCTGTTTAGATAGGATATAAGATTGTTGTGAGGCTCTGAAGGAATAACTGATTTCCCTGAGCTCTGACTGTTTATGAGAACAGCAACGATAAGCATTATTTCCCCTCTGCTCCTCAGTGCCTCACTATTACACTAGCCCTTCAATAATAGCAATTCATCGTGGGCATTGTGAGCGCTACAGAAAAGCACTGGATGTTCAGTTTGTATCATGGCACGAACCTGTTCCCCATTTAACCAAAACTGTTGAGCAACTGCGGTATTTCTCTGTCCTCCCCAGTCTTCCATCTTCCCACAGTGCTGCCTGTGGGGCACGTTCAGCAGGAATGAAAAGTCAGCAAAAGGTGTTAATCCTGCTTGATAGACCCATAATTCTCAGGGCTGTGTGTTTTATCACTTGTCAGGATATTGTTCACAGAGTTAATATAAGAAAATCTTTAAATAAAATGTTAACTGTTTAGGCCAAAGGGTTTAATCTGTAGCTATTAGCTTATATATCAAAAGCAGACTCGATGTTAAAAACGTGTAAGTACTAGTGTGCTGTACTTTAATTTTTTTACATTTGTGAGGTAACATTGGGACCATGGCATACAGAAAGGGCTTCCTATGGATCTTTTACCAATATAAGCTTTCTTTACAGACCAATTGTAGTTTGGGAAAATTGATTTTAGTTTAAGTGTAGGAGGAACAGATTAAACTATTTCTATTGATATGGTATTAGTAATATATCTGTGGCCTCATTTCAGTAATACTGGTGGCTTACTGAATTGAAAAAAAATATCAAGTCCATTGTCTTTTGTATAGTTTAGTGAACCAATGAAAAAAAGAGATAATGAAAAATAAAGAACAAGTATGGATACCAACTGTTCATGACTCAAGTAGATCAACTGAAATCCATAGGAAAAGTTTGATTGAATTATCATATGCATAGATAGAATTGCTTGTTTATAAGTTTAATGTAAAACTATAAATTCATAAGACAACATGGCATGGTCTTTATTACTATGTCCCACGAATTTTCCCAGCATTTTTAGAACACCTAGGACATGCAAATTCTAGGCATACAGATTAAAAAGTATAGCGCTCCCTCTCCCCCCCCCTCTCCCCTCTCTCTTTTTAAGATGAATGACTAACATATTGGATAATACCCAAACAAGAGATATCAAACAAACAGACAAACTGGGACCTAGTAAAAGATTATTTTCAGAAATTAAAATTAAAATTAAGAATATAGTAGAGGAGAAGTAAACATTAGAAGAAAGGCTTTTTCAAGATACCTGAGTATCAGTCTCAGAATGGTAAAGGAATATAAAAATGCTAAAAATATGAAGACTAAACTGAATACCAAGGAGTAGATGGAAATCACAGAACATTTTTTTATTATTCTTATGTATTTTTATTTGTATACTTTTTTCTATTCTTTTTTTCTATTTTTCTTACTTCTCTTCTCTCTTTTCCCACTCATTTATTTTAAATATATTGTTCTCCCACTTTCTATGTAATCTTATATTATCAATACAAAATTTATTATTTTTAAAAAAGATGAATGTCCATTCAAATGCCTTGTTAGTCCATAAGTTCGTTTATAGAGAGGTGGGCTGAAAAGCTAAGTATCATAGTAATTTGATTACAAATGTGTAAAAAAGGAAAATCTTGGCTTCAATCTTATTTCAGCCATAAACCGATTGGGTGGCCTTGGACAATTCCCTTAATTTAAATAAATAAACTAACAAACAAAGTTGTATTTTACAAACAGGAATTATACTTCCCAAACCTTTTTGAATATTATGCTGATGATAAATAACAGTGCTAATTCTATGGAAGTTTGAAGTCACTCTCACTGAATTACTTTGGATTTACTCACTAGTAAGATAAGGATTTACTTCTAGCCTTTTCTGTGCCTTAGAGATTAATATGGGCTATAAAATGAAATAAACACACAAAACCAAAGTGTAGCTATCAAGATTTTTCTGCAAGTGATTGTCTGCTAGTCATCAAAATATTAATGTTATGCTGTCCGCAAACTGTTTTCTTGCTGTTGCAATGATCATTTTAAATTTTAAGGGTGTGCCAGAGAAATAGAACCTAACATAGATAGTAAATTTGTGATTTATGGTTAGGATCATAATAAGATGAAACAGCTTCCAGAGTAAAAATTTTCAAAGGAAGCTGTTTTGTGAAGTGCGGAGTTAATGTAAATTGAATGATTATTCTTAGAATTATCATTGTTGAACTTGAATGCACACAACAGTTGGGAATATCTGATTTTGAATGTTAAGACTGATTTACAACTGTGCATAACACATTGTGAGGACCAACCAATAAGACAATCTAACCCTTGAGATTCCAGGATTACAGGATTCATTGATACAAAACGTTTATCATGCATAGCATTTGGTTTTGCCCACCCACTACCTCTACCAGGACATAATCTTTGTCCCTTCCATAGCTTCGCACATTCACATGAAGAGATCCTCCCTTACACACACACACAACACAAAACTATATATAAAAACAGTCCTACCATAAAAAATTGAGGGGGGGGGCTTCTTGATTGGGATAGATCTGATTGGGATAGATCTTAGACGTAACAAATTGGTGGCAGAGGAAAGATAGTCACTATTGATCTCTTTGTCTGATTTATCCCCATTCCAACAATGAGTATGTTTGAAAGAAGAAACTGTATTGCAGTGTATTGTCAAAGGCTTTCATGACCGGAATCACCAGGTTGTTTTAAGTCTTTTGGGCTGTATGGCCATGTTCCAGAATGATTATCTCCTGATGTTTTGCCTGCATCTGTGGCAGGCATTCTCAGAAGTTGTGAGGCATTGCATTGTTTTTAGCACTATCTGTCATTTTGAGCTTTTAAGAGAGGAAAAGCAGCAAATAAATAAATAAATAAATAAATAAATAAATAAATAAATAAATAAGAAGCATTTCCTAGCTCCTCCAGTGAGACTCTATGCTAACTTCTGCGGAGGCTGTTCATTTCAATAGGATTTGTTATTATCCACATTTTCCCATTTACATGGTAAGTTCAGGAATTATGGGGATATGGGTTTTGTATTATATTTGATTCAATTGAAGCAACTAATAAGAGGTGCTTATATTTTATGAGTAAACATTGCTTTTCTTTTTGTAGCGTGCAAGTAGCTTTGGAAAGTTTGACCATCACAGACATCACTCAACATCGAAACCAGATGATTCATCTGAGGTTTGTATATTGCACAATCTAGTTCTTTTAGGCTGTATCTTTGTAACTTTTGTACAGGCCCAAAGCACGCTGCAAAACATAATGAAGTTTTCTACAACTGATTGAACAGCTGTTGAGTTGAGCACAACTCTTAATTTTTTTATTCATTTTGAATATTCATACCTTCCAAAAGTAAAAGAACAGCATTGTTCCCTCAGTTTATTTTGTTCAAACTACTTGCTATTCCTGGGGAGATGTAACTGTCATAGTAACCTTTCACCTAGTGCCTATGTCAATAATGGCACATCAATGCATCATGCTTTTAGAAGTTTGCATTGGCATGACAAAATGGAAACTGGCGATTCCTGTTGAACAGGGATCCACAAATCTTGTCCTGACAGCCAGCCAGAAGGAGATGATGGAATCTTCTGGTGCTCGTTGAACCACAGAAGGGGAAGGTATCCTTACTTTCTGCACAGCTTGAGAGGGAAACAAGATCTTATCCTCATTACGTTAATGATTAGACACTGACAAAGCAGTAAGACCCATCACACAAGGTTGGTGCTGGGAACACTGTGCAATTGGTAATGCTTGATAGGACTTGCCTGTCCATAACAAGGAATAGATTAATCACATGGAGGAGACAGAGCAGCGGTTTGGTGCTTCAATGCTCCTTTGTGCAAGGTGGTGATGAATAAGTAACTGTATTTGTTGAACTTTCCCATAATTCATTTGCCACAGACAATCTACAGTATGAGAGGGATAACAGCAGCTGGCCATCTGAACCACTTCTATGAGTGAACTGTTCCACATAGACTCTTAATCTGCTAATTCATTATGAAATGTTTTTGACATGCTTTTCATTTCAAATAGCCATGTGAAGTGGATACTGTAAGTGATGGTGGAGAACCAGGACACAACAAAACACCACATAATGGAGGAAGCCTTGGGAAGAAAATGCGGGCCATTTCCATGACCATGAAGAAAAAGATGGGGAAAAAATATATCAAGGCACTTTCGGAAGATATGGTAAGTGCAGCACTCACATTTGTGATTGCCTATGGTTTTGAATGGTTTTAATTCCAGCATATGAACTCTGTTTTGCAAAGCATTATGTTACTTCATACTCTGCTGTATAACACAAAGCCAAATGGTGTCAGTCACTGTATCAGCAAAACATCACCAACACTGCAAACAGTGGCATTGCGAACAAAAGGTTGAACCATGTTTCCCAAGCATTTTTAACATTAATACAATGTAGAAGGCTACCTACAGTAAATCCTCAATCTCTTCAAACCTGGTGTGTGCTCAAAGAAAATTGCATATTATATGATAGTACTTATCTCAATACTAGAATCTGTTTTAAGTCTTGTTCTTTATGTAATGCCTGATGGAGAAGTGGGGATCAGCTGTTTCTTTGGTTTCTTTTGAGTTATGCTTGTGATGCCTCTGTAAACAACTAGGTAAGATTCATAGCAGTTACTTTAGTCCTCTTTGCAGATTCAATAATTTTATTTGTTATTATTAGACTCACTCTAAAGAGCTGGCTGCTGCATGCCTCATTGGGCTATCTGATGCTGAGCACTGCATTCTGGGAAATGTAGTTTATGGCAGGGCCTTTTAAATTGTTGGCCATAACTTCATTTGACTTATGAGGAGTAACGATAATTTCCCACACCCCTAATGTATGTATGTGTGCGTGTATATAAGCTTTGGATAGCATTGGGAAGTGGAATATGTTTTGCTGCCTGTGCCCCTGTTCAAAAAAAATCACTTCACTTTCTGTCCCTGTGATAATTGGATTTTAAAAAATGTGACTTGTTGTGAAAACAAGGATTGGTGATAAAGCTTCAGTGGATTAACCTTTTCCCCATGATACCTCTTTCAGGAATGATTTTTCCTTCCTAGGGGTAGATTTTAGGCCTGTTTGATCAAGAAAAAATTTGTTTCTAAAATCGTTTTGTAATTGGGGTGTATTTTTGTTTCGATATTTAAAATAATTACAAAACTTTCCCAAAAAAAGTTTTGGTATTTACAAAATTTTGTAAATATTAACGAATTTTTAGAATATTTTTTGTATTTTTTAAGAATAATATTAAAATAATATAAAAAATATTTTAAAATGGAAAATTAACCAAAAAATGGCCCAAATGTGGACCAAACACAGCCACGATACAGCAAATGAGAGCACACACCAACAGAAGAGTCTTTTCTTTTTTAGAATATTTTTTAAGAATAATATTAAAATAATATTAAAAAATAATATTAAAAATAATATTAAAAATATAAAATATTTTAAAATGGAAAATTAACCAAAAAATGGCCCAAATGTGGACCAAACACAGCCACGAGACAGCAAATGAGAGCACACACCAACAGAAGAGTCTTTTCTTTTTTAGAATATTTTTTAAGAATAATATTAAAATAATATTAAAAAATAATATTAAAAATAATATTAAAAATAATATTAAAAATATTTTAAAATGGAAAATTAACCAAAAAATGGCCCAGATGTGGACCAAACACAGCCACGAGACAGCAAATGAGAGCACACACCAACAGAAGAGTCTTTTCTTTTTTAGAATATTTTTTAAGAATAATATTAAAATAATATTAAAAAATAATATTAAAATAATATTAAAAAATATTTTAAAATGGAAAATTAACCAAAAAATGGCCCTGATGTGGAGCAAACAGCCACGAGACAGGGCAAACGAGAGCGCACACCAACAGGAGACTCTTTTCTTTTTTTAGAATATTTTTGGATTTTTTTAAGAATAAAACACGGGTATTTTTATAAAATATGTAAAAATGAAAAATTAACAAATTAACAAAAACCGAAGGAAGGAATGAATCCAAGCAAGGAATGAATAATAAGCAAGGAATGAATCAAAGCAAGGAATGAATAATAAGTAAGGAATTACATGCAATCCAAGCTTAGCCAGCAACCAACCAAGCCAACCCAATGCAAGCCGCCCTCCCGGACCTCTTTTCTTCTCCCTCGCCTCCGCAACAAAAGAATTTTTGGAAGAATAAAGATAGATCTTTTTCAGAAATATTTGAAAATGGAAAATGAACACAATGCTTGCCCTGCTGTGGAGCAAACAGCCAGAAGACAGGGACAAACGATAGCACACAGCCACAGAAGGGTCTTTTCTTTTTTAGAATACTTTTTGAAGTTTTTGAAGAATAAAAGAAAGATAAAATAAAAGAAATTAAAATTAAAATAAGTAAAATAAAATAAAATAAAAGAATAAAAGAAAGGGTGTATGAAAGGGAGTTGGGGGGGGAAACGCGCGCACACAGGCACACAAGGGTCCTTTCTTTTTTTAGAATTTTTTTGTTTTTTTTAAAGAATAAAAGACAGGTATTTTTAAAAATATTCAAAAATGGAAAATTAACCAAAAACTGGCCCTGATGAACAGCTAACACAGCCAGGAGACAGGGCAAACGAGAGCGTATACAGGAGTAGAAGAGTAGATAACCTGGGTCCGATCGCATCAGGGCAATGTTCCCGCGTTCAGCAGGCAGTGACAATGTAAGGCACCACAACGCAGAAAGCAAAGTAGTATGCATCAGGGCACCCTCCCAAAATGTAATTCCATCCTTGTATGAGATTGTTTGGAATATCTTAATAAAATAATATAAAGTAATAAATAAAATAATAAAATAATATAACTACAATAAAATAATATAACTAAACATAAACAATAATAACAATAATAAAATTATCAAATAGAATATAAATCAAATAGAATAAAAAGTTAAACAAAAAATTAAAATACAGTCAGTTGCTAAGAAGCAAGGTAAGAAATTGAAATTAAATTACTTAAGACTGTAATAAAATATAATACATAAAGAAATGTAATTATCATATTTTAACATAACAATACGAAATATAAATTATTTATTTATAATATAATGTCAAAAATTACAAATTAATTTTTAAAAATGCAGAAAGTAAATTAAATCAAAAGAAGAAAATATCATAAATTGCACTTTGAAACAACTATGAATATTAAATTATGGGAAATTATCTGGCTGGGCGGTTTTGTTCGACAATTTTGTAAATTGTTTTTTTTTTATAACAGTACAATATCGACATTTCTTTCAAACCCGGAAGTGTTTCTTCTAAATCGAAGTTCTAAATCGAAGTTCTTTCCACTCAAAAGAATTTATAGTTCTAGTTCTTGCTAATAGGCAAAGAAGAATTGGAAAGAGAGTTTTAGGGCCGTAGTTGTTATTTCTTAAAGGAAAGGAAGTAAAATAATTTGGAAAAAGGCAATGCAAAGCTGTTGCCATAAACTGGATAATTAGGAGTTTTGCCTTTGCAATCACCCATTTTTATCTAGTTGCAAAGGAAATGCGTATGGGGCAATTTCTCTTAAAATACCTTTTCTGTTCAGCATTTTTGGTCAAGCAATAAGGGCAAGCATTTCATTTGTGTAGTTCCAACTACTGCGGCCCACAAGCCAACACAAAATGCTTACAGTGCTCTTCATTATTTGTGTAGTTCCAACCAGTGCGGCCCTTCTGCTGCGGGGAGACACCATAATCACGAAGGTGGTCTTCCCGGGTGAGGCTCATCCACTGCACTCAGAGTGTGCTGACCCCTGCGATTAAAATCATCGATAAAAAGAAGTGCTTCTACGAAAATGTAGAGGACCAAAGCAGGGTCTCTTCCAAATGTAGGATTTTGTGATTCAGGATTCTATGATTCAGTAGAGACAGGCTAGCCATCTGTCAGGAAGGCTTGGATGGTGCATTCCTGCCTAGCAAAAGGAGATTGGATTGGATGGCCTCTAGAGCTAATACATGTCGACGAGCGCAGACCTCAGGGATGCGTGTATGAAATGGAGTTGGGGGGGAGGGTTTCCATTCAAAAATGGGAAATTAACCAAAAAGCTCACAGCAGCCAAGAAGACATTTCAAACATGAGAATTTCTACGTTTTCCGAAACGGCACGGCAAGAGAAGACTCACAGAAGTGCCTTGCAAGAAATCGTGCCTGACAAGAAGAAACAACGACTACTTGCATAAGGCTTCCCAAATCCACCGAGAAACTTTAGAAAGCTAAATGGATCTTGGGATCGAGCTGGCGGTCCGCCACGAGGCGAGCTAACGCCTCTCAAAGGGTGTATGAAATAATATTCATTTTTGGTTACTCTAGATAACCTGGGTCCGATTTGATTTGATTTGATTGATTGATTTGATTTGATTGATTTGATTTGATTGATCTTGGGATCGAGCTGGCGGTCCGCCGCGAGGCGAGCTACCGCCTCTCAAAGGGTGTATGAAATAATATTCATTTTTGGTTACTCTAGATAACCTGGTTCCGATTTCATTTGATTGATTTGATTTGATTGATTTGATTGATTTGATTTGAAGCTGCGAGGCCATTCAATGCTAATCAAGGTGGCCAATGGCAGCATTCACAATTGCCTCCAACAGACAAGGGTTCTTTCTCCCACCCTGGACCTTCTACAGCCAGGCTTTGAAGCTGCGAGGCCATTCAATGCTAATCAAGGTGGCCAATGGCAGCATTCACAATTCCCTCCAACAGACAAGGGTTCTTTCTCCCACCCTGGACCAAAGGGTCTTTGCAATTATTCAAATGAACAAATGAAACGAAAGTCGGAGGTTTTTTTTTTTTTTGGATTTGTTAATTTTTTTGAGGTTATTCATATTTATTTTCATTACTCTAGAACGAAAGTCGGAGATTCTAAGACGATGAGATAAATAATCAATAAAAGAGGGGAAAAACTTTTTTTTCCTTTCATTCTGCCATGAGAGTGAGTCCCTGCAACATGGACTTCATTCTTAAAGGACCGTTTTAAGTTACCTCTTGGCACAAATTCTGAGTTTTTTACAATAATGTAGAGTAGATATTAATGTTAAAGAAAGACATATAGATTGGTAGATAATATGATAGAAATTCTTTAGAGTAATTCCAAGAGTGGTCATCAATCACAAACCTGTAATATACAGTATTTGGGTGACCCTCCCGAAGCTGTTGTGATGAGTTGGGGG